GATCCCCAGTACTGAAAAAATAAATCATGGTTTCTGTTCCTGCCAGGGAACACTTGAGTAAGCTAAGCCAATGTTATAACTTGGGCTGAATTCCACCAGGATATGTTTAATCATTAGGCACTAGGTTTTAGAAAAATTCTGGATTTTTATGCCTTTATAAGACAAATAACTGTCTTGTCCAGCTCCCCAGTCCCCAATTCCAACAGTACTACCCCAGAGCCCTCTGGTGCAGGTTACCTACAGTCACCTTAAAGGGGTTTGAGACTGCCATGTCAAACAGAGAATTTTTCAATGCTGACAAAATGAGCCAGAGAGTTCTTGGAGGAAGAAGATATTGGAAAGAACAAGCAAGCAAAGCCAAAAAACTTTACAACTTCCAGTTGTTATTGGATCTTGCTTTCATCAAAATAGAACATAATTGACTTATGTGAACTCCGGGACATAAAAATGATTGCTGTGAACCACTTATCAGGCCACAGTTAGGAAGTGTTCTAACCCACAGCTGTGAGAGTGATAGAGACGGAATTTTAGAACTTTATGTGCAAATAATTTAATGATATGAAAAATATTAACAATAATTAAAATCCCCCAAGTAAATTCCATTTTTATCTTGGAATGCAGCCTCTTAAAAGTATGACAGATGAGTGAATGAAATTGCAGGAAAACTACTTGTAGTGTACATATTTATATGTACTCTCTATATATAGATATCTAAACTTTCCAAAGGAAATAGTGACCCCACTAATTGTCTGATTTTGAGTTTCAAACCCAAATACTAACAGTTCTTGAGTTTTAAGTCATTTGACCTCCTTATATGAAAAACAATCACATCATGAAGTTCTCTTGACTTTGCAGAGGCTAAATTCCCAAGGACAGTAAACAGTATGAATCTACTCTTTTCTGGAATCAACGGTAGAAGGTGTCTTTATTTTCCTGGTTGCTAAAGCAAAACTTTAAAAAGTCCATCCTGGTTCATAAGGACATGACATAATATTTTCCTACAAAGGGACAACCACTGAATGCATAGAGCTTCCTCCCTTAAAACCAATCAAGAAAAACTTGGAATCCTGCTGGGTTCCACCCCATTCACATCCTTACAGCAGAATCAGAATGAAGTCTAGGGAAGTGTAAGGCTGGAGTCACAAATCATTTTGGAAACCAGCAGCTGTCATTCATGATCCATGCCCCACATTACAGAACCGCAGGACCTGAGAGCCAGGAGGGACAGGTCCAGCCTTCTAGTGAGAACCCTCGTTTCTCAGGTGGGAACTCAGAAACTGGAAAGGTCAAGAGCATAAGTCTCTGGCCCTCAGCCAGGGCTCTTTCCTCAGTCACTGCTCCTTGAAAAGCTCTGAGCACAGCAGGGATCCCAGCTCACCTGCTGCTCAAAGTGCTCCACCTGGCCCTACCTGAACCCACAAGGAACTTTGCCCGATGAGAGATCCTGCCCTTCACAGCAGGCTTTGGCTCTAGTGTGAGGGGAGGAAGGCAGGCAGAGGCATGATTCCCCACTAACTGGTTCCCCCTTCTCTTGGGAAGAGCAAGGGTCCCTACCCATCCTCTGCATGCTGACCTGGCTCCCAAATCCTAACCAGGGTGGTATAAACTCCCCGTTGAGTGCCATGTGCAGGGATCATCTCAAAACGGTGTGACAAAATGACTCCCAGCTCCCAAAGCAGGGAAATGAAGAGGACTTGGGTTTCCAAAGTCTGCTATAGATCGGGAGTCAGGAAATGCCTTTCGTGACATTCTCATGACTATCTTTACCTAGTGCATGGGCACAATCTCATCAAGAGTGTGGGCATAGCCACACTCAGCCCCGCCAGAGCTGAGGAGCTGGAGAGGGAGAGTCTGTGAGGAGTCCTAGTGGGGAGTCCCAGCAGGGAGGGGGTGGGTAAGCAGGGACACTGCAGGGCGGTGTCAGTGCTGAGCTCCTTCTAGAAGGGAGATGGCAGTAGGGTGAAAGAGGATGACACTGAGAAACAGGTAGAGAAGAGGGGGTGTTCCGAATGTCTTCCAGAGAGAGCCAGCAGCCCAGAATTCGGGAGCAGGGCCCATGCATAACTTGGGAGATCGTTCGGGCAGCTCCCAAATTCTCCACTGGAAAACAATCCCTGCACCTGCATCCCTCACAGGGAGAACCTGTCTGTCTCAGGAAGGACAGAGCTTTCCTGTTGTGTAAGCAGCCCTCCCTGACCACCCTGAATCAGAGAGTGCAGCTCAGCTTCTTGAGCCTTCTTGGAATACAGACTGCCTTGGAGAATGCCAAGGGCATTGGTTGTGATTGACAGCCCCGGGGAAATAGAAAGAAAAGGACGAGCGGTATAAATACAAGGACACTGAGAAGGCTTGGTCCCATTAAAGTGCCCACCTGGGTGTTTTCCCCGTACTAAGCCCAGGTGTTGGAACCTTAGTGTAATGATATTTCCATGATCACGGGGCAAATGTGGAGGAGAAGCCAGACACCTGGAGTGACTCTTGGCTCTGCACACAGCACGTTAATTAGGACTTGGGACTCTGGATTCCTTGTATCCTCAGATGGAAATAACAATATCACCTGCCTTAGGGAGCTTTTGTGGGGTGACAACAGGCTCCTCAGCCTCTGTGCTGCAGGCTTTTTTTTTTTTTTCTCTAATGGTTCTTTATTTATAATGTAGACGGAAGCAACTATTACAATGTAGAAAGGAGACACCTTACACAACTGCTATTTATACAAGTTCAGAACAAAAAAACTGCACAGGGAGAGGTCAACTCCCAATTCAAACTAGCAGCTAAACCACAATAATTTACCTTTTTTAGAAAAGATCTTTTTATTTTTAGCTGTGGCTAAACATTTTAGCTGTGGTTTGGGGGCTGCGCTGTGCATTGTAAGATATTGACATCCTTGTGGCATCTGCCCAGGGGACACCTCTAGCACCCTTCCATCCAGTGCCAACCAAAAACTGTCTTGACACTGTCAAATGTCCTGGAGGAAGAGCCCAATTACCCCCAGCCAAGCACCATAGATTGGAGGGACAGATGTGCCAAGGCACAGGCACAGCTGCCGACACACCCCAGCCTCCTTTAAACCACAGGACCCACCACGCTGGCTCCATCGAAGCAACCGCCCCTCTTCATTTTTGGTTTGCTCTTCTTCCCACTGCAGAGCTGATCAAATCCATTTTAAGGGGGCCTCGGGCCCAGAAGTCTTAAAATTTAGATGCACTTTTGTTTTCTTTGTGTATTTCTATCATCTTGGTATGTTTGCATTAATAACCTCACCCCAAAGCTGGGGTTTTTGTAAATCATCTATACACGTACATGGAAAAGCTAAAGTACTTCTTAGGTGGCTAGTTTTTAGCGTCTTAACTTTGTTTTCCTTGATGATTCAGTTTTTAAATTATGCGCTGAAAGTAGCTTGACAAAGCTCAAGATAAATCGTGGTGACCAAAATCTTTCCTATATTGCACAGAGGTTTGCTGTCATTTACATCAATAAGTTTGGTGGCTTACAGTAAAACAGTCCAACAAAGGAACCACAGAACACACCTGCTATGTCACAATAAAAAACATGCAATGGGAGAAAAATTCAGTCCTTTCTGTCAGGAAAGTAATTTTATTTTGTTGTAAAGACCAATCTCTACTGAAATGTGCTCTTTGAGGATCCCGCACAGCCCTGTGAGATTGATGTGGACACTGTTCTGGACTGAATGTTTGTGTCTTCCCAAAATGCACATGTTGACATCCTAGTGAGACGGTGCCGGGAATGGGGTCTTTGGGGAGCTGTTTGGTCATAAGCATGGAGCTTGCATGAAGAGAATTAGTGCCCTTATGCAAGGACCTCAGAGTACTCTCTCCATGTGAGGACACAGTGAAGACAATCATCCAAAAACCAGGAAGAGGCCCCCACCAGACACAGGACCTACAGGCACCCTGATCTTGGGCCTCCCATCCCTCAGAACTGTGAGAAATAGGATTGACAGCAGCAGCTGGCAGCCCATTACCATCCATGCCAAAGTATTAGAGCAAATAATTCTTTTTGTGTACATATATCAAAGGGTCCATCTGCACCCCTTAATTATGTACAATTATGTGTCAATTAAAAGTAAAATAGACATTTAAAAAAAACTTCCATGATCTTGTAAGAAAGACATGTGTTCCAGAAGCTATGGACAATTTTTAAAGAGCTAAAGATTTTTATGTGATATTTTGTCTGTGATATTTTGTTTCAGCAACCTGAACGGAAGAAGGCACATTTTCAAAGGATCATTGATCTGATTTAAAAACTGTTCAAAACTTCTGAAACACAATCCCTTTTGTAAGATTATGGGAGTGTTTTTTTAAAAATATGTTTTTTTTTAAATTATCACACAATTGTACATATTTAAGGGGTGCAGAGTGGCACTTCAATGTAGATCTATATAAAAATCACCAGAGCATTTGTAACTGAAGAATTGTTTGCTTTAGTACTCAGTGTGGATGAAGGTTGCTGCGAGGCCCAATGAGCCAGAGCATTCCCAGCACACATAAAAGCTCCTGGCCAATAATAAGCTTGAAATAAGTACAGCTATCGCCATGGTTAGAACACCATCCCACGGGTTTCAATGGGTGCCATCCATGAAAGACTGACAGTCAAACGTCTGAAAAGAGTGCTTTTTAAAAATCGAAGCATCTTTTTGCCTCACTCATCGCACTACATCTCAAAGCAAGATAACTGCCAAGGACACAATCCAGTATGCACCCTGCGACAGCAGGACCCTTTCTTCATGAGACCATTCACAAGATTAGTGTTGCAAAAATCACAGGTGAACCATTACTGCGCAGGCCATCTTCACAGCTTGACACACAGTCTAAGGTAATTGAAATCGCTTATCAGAACGTGAACAACTCTGATTGTAAAAGACATAAGTATTCTCAACATAAGCATCCACAACATGTCAGAGTCTGAGACAATTTAATGTAAGTATTCAGGATGGTTCAAAATGCAGGCAAGCTGCCTGGTCTGATTGTTACATCACTTACCCGAGAGCCCTTATCAGGAAAGCACTGGCAAATGGAGCAATCTCTTCCTCCACAAGGACCGATGTATTTCTTCCCACCCTGGAAACGGAAGCAGCTTCTTTAGCATGCAAGTGCTCATCTCTTAGTTGGATACATGCCATGCACAGCACAACAAGCACTCTGGGTTTGCCCAGCTCGCCAGAATCCCATGGTACACTCTTACCCTTGGATCCATGAGAAGCAACAACTATACTGACGTATTAAAAGGCAAAGCACTTGCACTGGGGCTTCATAATCAGCAGGGCTGACTATACCAGCAAGTGGCTTCCAAGACTGAGGACACTTGGGAACAGACATGGTCCTTCTATAGTCACTTTGCTTTGGCCAGAAGCTTCTACAGTTTCTGTCTCCCAGGAAGGCTTCATGATGTACTAAGTTGTGAACAAGCTTAGAGTACGAACCAGACAGTTGAGCAAACCACACGTATACAGAGGCATCTAATTTAGCTGATGGGCTTGACTTTTTCCATGATCACCTTGCTCTGCCTCCTGGATCAACTGGCCTGTCTCCCTTGTGAAGTCCTTTCCAGGACCATTGTCCAATACGGTCTCATGCTTCAGATAAAAATTATTCTTCCTTACAGTGTGCCAATACTCCAAGATGGTTCCTCTAATGTGTCTCTCAACCAGAAAACTTCTGAACCTAAATAATTGGTGCCCTCTCCCCATTTTTCAAGCTGACTTTTCTGCATTAGAGAGTCAACACACACACACACACACACACACACACACACACACACACCTATGCTCTTTGGCAAGAATCGTCACTTTGTTCTCATAAATGCTGATTATCAAGAACCAGTGTCATCAGCCACTTTAGTACAAAAGTATAGTCCCAGAGAGACTGTAAGTAGGTCCCTTAGAAGAAAGGGTCATACAGTGTGCCTGCATTCATTCACAGGGGCTATGGGTTGGATGGGAGAGGTGGACAGGTGTTGGTCAAAGATGCCCTAGGTGGTGGGAACTGAGGGCATGGACAGGAACATCAAGTCAGCACCAGAGACAAACTGCCTAACAAACATGCACATAGTAATTGCACGTTTCTGTAATTGACATTTTTTTTTTAATACTAGGGATTGAATCCAAGGATGCTTTATCACCAAGCTACATCCAAAATTCCAATTCCCAGTCCTTTTTAAAAAATTTTTCTTAAATTTGTTTTATATGACAGCAGAATGAATTACAATTCATATTACACATATAGAGCACAATTTTTCATATCTCTGTTTGTATACAAAGTATATTACACCATTTGTGTCTTCATACATGTACTTTGAATAATGATGTCCATCACTTTTCACCATCATTTCTAACCGCATGCACCCTCCCTTTCCCTCCCACCCCTCTGCCCTATCTAGAGTTTGTCTGTTCCTCCCATGCTCCCCTTCCCTACCCCACTATGAATCAGCTTCCTTATATCAGAGAAAACATTTGGCATTTGTTTTGGGGGGATTGGCTAACTTCACTTAGCATTATGTTTCCCAGCTCCATTCATTTACCTGCAAATGCCATGATTTTATTCTCTTTTATTGCTGAGTTATATTCCATTGTGTATACATACCACATTTTTTAAATCCATTCATCTACTGAAGAGCATCTAGATTGGTTCAACAATATAGCTATTGTGAATTGTGCTGCTATAAACCTTGATGTGGCTGTGTCCCTGTAGTATGCTGTTTTTAAATCTTTGGGGTACAAAACAAGGAGGGGGATAGCTGGGTCAAATGGTGGTTTCATTCCCAGTTTTCCAAGGAATCACCATACTGTTTTCCATTTTGGCTACACCAATGTGCAATCCCACCAGCAATGTATGAGTGTGCCTTTTTCCCACATCCTTGCCAACACTTATTGTTCTTTGTTTTCTTAATAGCTGCCATTCTGACTGGAGTGAGATGATATCTTAGAGTAGTTTTGATTTGTATTTCTCTGATTGCTAGAGATGTTGAGCATTTTTTTCATATATTTTTTGATGGACTGTATATCATCTTCTGAGAAGTGTCTGTTTAGGTCCTTGGCCCATTTATTAATTGGGTTTTTTTTTTTTGGTGTTTAGCTTTTTGAGTTGCTATATACCCTAGAGATTAGTGCTCTATCTGATGTGTAAGGAGTAAAAATTTTCTCCCAAGATGGAGGCTCTCTATTCACCTCACTGATTGTTTCTTTTGCTGAGAAGAAACTTTTTAGTTTGAATCCATCTCATTTTTTATTCTTGATTTTAATTATTATGCTAATTCTTATGACCTAATCTGACATGTTAGAGATTAGGGCCTACTTTTTTCTTCTATTAGATACAGGGTTTCTGGTTTAATTCCTAGATCCTTGATCCACTTTGAGTTGAGTTTTGTCCATGGTGAGAGATAGGGGTTTAGTTTCATTTTGTTGCATATGGATTTCCAGGTTTTCCCAGCACCATTTGTTGAAGAGGTTGTCTTTTCTCCAATGTATGTTTTTGGCACCTTTGTCTAATGTAAGATAATTGCAATTTTTTGGGTTAGCCTCTGTGTCCTCTATTTTGTACCATTGGTCTACCAGTCTATTTTGGTGTCAATACCATGTCATTTTTGTTACTATTGCTCTGTAATGTAGTTCAACGTCTGGTATAGTGATGCTACCTGCTTACTTTTCTTGCTAAGGATAGCTTTAGCTATTCTGGGTCTCTTATTTTTCCAGACGAATTTCATGATTTTTTTTTTTTTTCTATTTCTATGAGGAATGTCATTGGGGTCTGGATTGGAATTGCACTAAATCTGTATAGTGCTTTTGGTAGTGTGGTCATTTTGATAATATTAATTCTGCCTATCCAAGAGCAAGATTGATCTTTCCATCTTCTAAGGTCTTCTTCGATTTCTTTCTTTAGGGTTCTGTAGTTTTCATTGTATAGGTCTTTCACCTCTTTCATTAAGTTGGTTCCCAAGTATTTTTTTTTTTGAGGCTACATCCCCAATATCCCCAATTCCAATTCCCAGTTTTTTTTTGTTTTTTTGTTGTTTTTTTTTTTTGAGACAAGGTCTTGCTTAGTTCCTGAGACTGGCCTTGAAATTTTTGATCCTCTTGCAACAGATTTCCCAAGTCACTGTCATTACAGGCATGTGCCACCATGCCCAGCTTGATAGATCTTTTTAAACTGAAGTCTCTAGACCAATGTATAATAGGAAAACATAACACAACTAAACTGATATTTATAGTTCAGATGGAAGACACATAAACATACGTATATGTAAAACATAATACATATAAATATGCATGTATATATGAACACATATAGACAAACATACATATACATAAATGTGTATGCGTGCATGTGTCTGTGTGTGTGAGTGTGTGTGTGTGTGTGTGTGTGTGTGTGTGTGTGTGTAAGAGGGAAAGGAGTCTTTCCAGAAATTCTTTTCAATCACACAATTTCAACTTCTTTGGGAGAAAAGTATTCTCAGACAAAATCCCAAATAAAATATCTATAAGCATTAATGGAAAAGGCATCTTTATAAATAAAATTCTCCTGGGTCATTAAAAGTATATAAGAATTTGAAGCTTCACAAGAGCCAAGCAAGTAGATAATTTAAGTTAAAAATGTGTTTGAAGTTTCTGAAATATATGCCCCTTAAATTTTGAGTGACATTGTTATCTACAATACCTACATTCAAAATACTGATAAGGTTTAAAAAAAATTAAATACCCAGGGCCAAGTTGGGACAGCACTTGAAGTAGCTAGTCTGAACACTCAGGTCATTTAAGGTTGGGATTCATTACTGTGTGTTCAGTGAAATATCAAAATAACCAGAGGAAAAAAGGTCAGTTGATCAGATGGCTTGATAATGAAGGGTTTTTTATGTATTTATTTTTACTTATCTTTGCCAAGCATCACTGAGATGTTCTTAGCACAATTACATCACAAAATAGAGTCAGTTTAAAATAGATCAGCAGATTCTAATAAAGCAACACCTCAATAAACATTTAAAAGGGAACAGTGAATTCACAGGGGAAGAGTCTGACCCTCAAAAATAGATTGCATAAACCCTTTGAAAAAAAATAAAGACAGTATCTCAGACAACTAAACATTCAAAATATGAACTACACTGACGGGGAACACACTTATACTCTCAGGAAACCAATGTTACTTTTCTTCAAAGAGAAAAACAGGAAAAGTCATCTGCTTTATCTTGGGCATTTTAAAACAAATATTTGCTGCATAAAAAGTTCAAGAAAATAAGTTAATTTCTAGAAGAATAGCCATCTGCCCTAAAAATGGACCTCAATGGTGTCTGGGTATTAATAAGCATACTCACACCACAATCTCTCACACACACAAGCACACATGTGAACAAATGCACACACACACACACACACACACACTCACACACACACACTTTCAGTGATTTTTGATCTGCTTTTATTTTTACCCAATGGTATACTGCCCAATACTTTGCCACTTTCACATAATCAAATGTCTTCATAATCATTCTGACAGAATCTATATAGCTATCCATTACAAAGGATCTTAACTTGTTCAACCACCCTCTACTGAGGAGCGTCGATATTGCATCAGTTTTTACCTCTACCTTTAAAATCTAATCATCACATCCACTCCTGTGTGACCACAAGCCAGTGGGAGGGTCCAGGATAGAACGATCCTTGGTTCAGGAATTATATTCATTGGCATGGAATATAAGGATCAAATGAAGTGAAAATTAAGACTTGGTAGACTTAGAAAACAAAAGAATATGATATAAAAGTAAACTCAGAAAAAATCAGGTAAGATCCACAGCAGTCAGCCATTGTTCTCAGATGCACATGAACCAGCCCTCCATGCCCCCTTAACATGGAGAAGACTGAGTCTTAGGTATGTTAAGGAATGAATCAGTGGCAGAGCCAAGAACCAAGGGTGCCTGTTCCTTGACCCACGTGCTGTCTGCTCCCAACTGGTAGGAAGAAGAAAACAAGGTTAATGACCAGCTTCCATTTGCTTTGGAAAGACCTAAGATAATCTGAATCTCTGAAATTGGATTGGGTGGACCCAAGCCAGTCCAGTTGTTTAAAGATCAACCTGAGTTACAGACAGCTCATAACTGGATTTTCCAGAAACTTCTGAGATTGGGTTTAATAACTTAGATTCTTTAGTGAAGAGGCAGAAGTAAGAGGGCTTATTACAGAATGTTCTAGGCTTATCTTTCTGCAGAGCTAAAATGTTCAAATTTAACCTTATATTTTCTGATTTAATCTTGATATGGCCCAGCTGCCTCTTGTCTGTCTCAAAAAAAAATGTGTTTAAGAAAAGGTTATGTTAATTATAAACAATCCAACACCCAAGCTATTCCAAAAGCAATCTTGACCACAAAATATTGAAGAAACCTTAGAGTTACTGTAGCTAAACCTCCATTTCCCAGATAAAAAAAACTGAGCCCCAGAAAGTGTTTAAAAATATAACAAAACAATACATTCAAGAAAGTGAATTCTCAACGTACAGTCAGTGTAAATTAATGTACTTACTCCATATACATGTTGTACAGAAAAGAGAATAAGTATAAGGTACCTGCAGAAAATCAAAAATTCATATTAATTTAAACCATTCATTTTCATGCAAAACAAACTAAAAAGATAAAGAATAAAGGAGTTAATCCCAGAAAGCTTTTTATTTCTAACAGGTTAAGACCACCGGCTGATTGTCCCCAGTGGCCAGAGAGATGTTCTGCTCTCTCTGGATGTCAAGATGACTGTTCCTCTTTTTAGTCAGTCAAGGAAGCAGGATGGAAGGTAATGTGGTCCTCCTGAGCCTCCTCTCTACACCCTCTTGTCCTTCCTCTTGTGCAAACACATGAGAAACACCACTGAGAGTCACAAAGCCATGTGCCTGGGTGTGACCCTGATTAGGACCTGGGCAACTGGGGCAGATCTAGTCTGTATTTTCTCGCTTTCACCCTTCTCCCAGCCATTCTGTTGGAATTCATGATAATTCCAATAAAGTCCAGTTGACATTTCAGTGTAGTAAATAAGCAAGTTAGAGAAAAATCTGAAGGAGGTGTTAAACCCAGGGAATAAGCTTTAAATCAAGTTGAACTTGTATTTACAGCCACTGCTTGTTAAATGACTTCTTATCTCTTGGGACATTTGTAAATAGGATATGTTGTATCTCTTTTTTTTAATTTTATTTTTCTAGTTGTAGATGAACACATTGCCTTTATTTTAATTGTAGATGAACACAATACCTTTATTTTATTTATTTTTATGCGATGCTGAGAAGCGAACCCAGTGCCTCACACATGCTGGCAAGTGCTCTTCCACTGAGCCACAACCCCAGCAGGACATGCTGCATCTTATGGCAGTTGTGGTCACCACATAATCGCATTAAAACTGTGGGCACCTTTCACAGAAGACCTAACTCAGAAATGTCGGATAATATGCACCAGAGCCCTCAGGCAAAATAGCCTGCAAGGGCCCAAGCATGTCAGATAGGAACCTCATTACTGTCCCTTCACCCTATACTGTTTGTCTTTCTCACTGACATAGATATTTTTCTTCTAAAAACCATCCATAATTAAGATTCTTTTGCAGTTTCCTTCCTATCCACTCCACGTAAGTCATGACTACATTTCTGAAATAAACAGATTCCTTCCCATCACCCACTCCCTCTTCCTTCATTTCCCATAAACACATTCATCACCTTCAAAACTTTTCGCCTTTCTGCTCTTTAAGTCTTAATCCTCAACACCTTTTAGGTCATATTTAACAATCTCCTATTAGCTTCCTATGGCTGCAGCAACACCTCCCCACAAACTGTGAGGCTTAAACAATGCAGATTAATCACCTTGTACTTTGGGGCATCATAAGCCTAATGTGGGTCTCAGTGGTGAAAATCAAGGTGTTTCAGGGGAGAGTGTGATCCCCTGCTTTCCCAGACTCTAGGGGCCACTAGCTTTCCTTGGCTCGTGGTCCATTCCATCTTCAAAGCAGGATGAGTGTTTCTCTTGCTGCATCCCTCTGGCCTCTGCTTCTGTAGTTACGTCTCTCCTGATGCTGATCTCCCCCGTTGACTTCTAAGAACACTTGTGATTATATGGGCACACTCAGATGATCTAAGATCAACTATCCCATCCCAAGGTCTGCCAATTAGCAAACTTAATTCCATCTGTAACTTTAAACCCCCCTTTTCAATATAACATAACATAGTCACAGGCTCCCAAGATTAGGGTATGGATGTCTCTGGGGGTCATTAACCTGCCTACTGCACTAGACAAGTACTTTGTCCCAACTCTACTAGTTGCAGGGACCCCCTGCTGCTCTGGGCCTATAAGGCTTTTGCTATTCCAACCCAGTGAGTAAGAGAGCAGGAACCCAGAGCCTTTAGTTGTGCAGCTTCCCACTGGGTGACCTTGGAGCATTTCAGGGAGGGTAGAGTGTGGACTTTAATAATGAGTCATATACAGCAGGCAAACCTTTTAGCTTTCTGGAACCATTTGGCTTTTTGATACTGAGGCATTTAGATAATCTACAACTATAAAACAAACACTTAGGAGAAAGTATTTGATAAAAGCAGGTGATCACACAGAAGACACTCACCCGGGATCTGTGACCAAGGGCTTGGTCCATCTGAGAGACACCATGTGCACAGGGGCTCTGCAGGCCAGCCTAGGGACTAGAAACTTCTGCCAGGCCTCTCTTCTCTTCTGGAAGACTCGCTGGCAGGTGAAGTTCTGTGTCCTGGGTTAAAATCTGCATGTGTTAAATGTAAATATGTTTCTTAAAACACAGTGTGCATTATAATGTTGAAAATAATTACTTTCATTATTCATAGTAACAGAGGTATTCGGGCATGAAAATAAGTGAAATATTAATATGGGCTACAATGTGAATGAAGCTTGAAAACATTATGCTAAGTGAAAAAAGGCCAATATGTATGTATGTATATAATGTATATAAAATGTATATAAAATGTCTACAATAGGCCAATCTAGAGAAAGAGAAAATAGATTAGTGGTTGTTAGGAGGAATGGAAAGGGAAAATTAGACAACTGTAGGATTTCTTTTGGGGATGATGAAAATGTTCTAGAATTTAGGAAGTGGTTATGGTTATATAGCATATAGACATAATAAAAACTGTTGGATTATAAACTTCAAAAGAGTTAAAATGGTAAACTTTATTTTTTGAACTTTACCTCAATATAAAAGGAGAAAAAAAATATTTTTAAACTTGACTCAAAGAACCTTTTATTTGATTGTTGGCCCCAAGAATTGAGATGTCTCATATTTAAAATCTTTGGCTGTAAAGACCTGTCCTTATTGGAACTGGTAGAGAGGGGAAACCAGGAGTGTTAAATGTTGCAGACTATTTTTAAATTTCCGGATAAAAGCTGGGTAAATTAATTCAATGCTGTATTTATGGAACATTAGTTTTCTGAGTAAGTGGTAGAACCACATTCCACGATGCTGTTTCAAAACCAAATAGAAACAGAATAACTCTGAATACCTAGATCTTTTCCACCCCTAAATTTATAATTTTAAGTATCTTTTTTAAAAATCACATTCTAGAAGCAAGTCTCAATAAAAGTATTGTTTTAGAAGGAAAACACAAATTGGTTTGAGTCATTCAAATTGTATTCAATAATTTAAACAAATTGAAAACAGTCTAAGATTTAAGAAAGCCAGAGATACTTGCATTTTAATCCAAAATTAGATACATGATGAACTTAATCTCTACACATATCCACACATATTGTGATAAAGGGTTGCCATAGTCATCTTCCAGGGAAGACAGACTGTGGTCTAATCCTAGGATTTTCTCAATACATTTTCATTGGATGCAGGTATAGGCCAATCTGCAGAATCCCAGTGGGTCTCCCACCAGCCAAAGAGAGTGAAAGGGCAAGGACACTGGGAGCATCCTGCGCATTCTCAGCACCCTGAATTTAATTAGCTACAAACCTTAGGACAACAGGCTGCTGCTGTTTTTAATAACCCACAGGCTTATCTTCCGGGCCCCTGTAGTGTCTGCAATATATAATGAGTGCTCAATATATATCTGTTGGATGAATTAACTTGTAAAAGACACTTGGGACCTTAGGGATGGGAGACAAGTATATTCAATGGGGCAGCTGTTAAAGGCTGTGGAGAAGGCTAACTTGGAATACACCTGAGGCTGTGGAGAAAGAAATCATATTGACCTTGGGGGAAGTGAAGAGAAACTGACACTTTGTGGTTATTTGTAGGGTCCTCTTCAGAGCATTGCCCACATAAAGTCAGTTAACTCTTAACATGATTTCGAAAAAGTATTATCCCCATTGCACAGGAAAAACAAAGGAGATCAGTTTATGGACTTCATACAAAGTCACAGAGCCATAAGTCACTGCAGGACCAGGACTTTTCTCTCTGGTAAGTGTTCCTTCTCCCCAGTGACACTCTGGCATGGAGGACTTCAGATTTTTCTCCTCTTATCCTCCCATAAGAATTTTGAAACTATGCACCCTGCCCTTCTTTTTCTTCTTAAGTTAACATTAAAAAGCTTTCATCTTCTCTTTAAGTTGTTGCAAAGCAAAGGATTTCTGAAGTATCATTAATGGTGACCTTTAAAATAGAACTGTTCCAGCATTATTTTGATATATCAAATGCATCATAATGCCACAACAATCTGATTTTCACCCCTATCAGATTAAAACAATGCATACAAATTCTTTCACAGGAATTTCATTTGGCTTGTTTTTAAATTTTGAATACGTATTTCCATGCCACTCCCCGACACATTTTAATGCAGCATATTTTATACTTGAAAATCTTATATTGATCATTATCATACTTCTCTGCAACAAAAATGTTTATAAAGTAAATATTTTTTTTATTTCCTATGATCATAGTCCTCTAAGTTTAATTTTTTCCTGCTGGAATTGATTTTTCCTTATCAATGTTAGATACATATATTTTTTTCATCAAAAACAAATTCACATATGGTTGATCAATTATTAAACATCAAAATAGTTGTATTGGAAATGCAGGCTCTTTTGTTTCTCAGTTCAGTCAGCTCTAGACCAGCAGCTCTTCCTACTGAAATTGACACAGTTTTTAAAATAATATTTCCTTCTTTATTTCCAAATTTGAACTGTTCTTGAGTTGTATACTGTAGTTTGAAAGTCTCCTGCCTCACAGAATTCATGTGTTGAAATCTAATCCTCAGTGTTTTGATATTAAGATGTGGGGTCCTTTGGGAGGGGCGATAAGATCATGTGGCTGAGCCCTCATGCAGGGTAACTGTGCCCTAGAAGGGTCTGGGAGAGCTTCTTTGCATCTTGCTTCTGCCATGTGGGACTGTAACAAAGAGGAAGCCCTCTCCAGAAACTGGATCTGCCAGGACCTTGATTTTGAACTTCCCAGCCTCCAGAACTGTGAGCAATTTCAGTTGTTCATCAATTACTCAGTCTGCGGCACTGTGTTATAGCAACCCAAATGAACTAAGACACACATCAAGATTAGTGTCGTACTTCATCATCAAGAATTATTTTTGAATTCACTACCAGCTGTAAGCCTTCAAGTGTGATGACAGCTGAAGTTGGAAACAGTGACCAGAGGCCGTCATAGCCAGTAGGTGGAGCACTTCCTGTTTGAATGGTCCTTCCTTTGTCCTTACAGAGGGTTCTTCAGTTCTGGGACAAAGCAGGGTGGCAATGTCTGGGATGGACACGGGGAGAGGAATGTGCCTTTCTTTTGAAAAGTAGGAGAAGAAACAGTGTAAGAAGCTTGAACAAAGGCAGAGCCATGCTATGAAAGAATGTACACGGCAGCTGAGCATCTGGAAACAGGCTCTGTTCATTAATTGTCCATAAAATTAATTACATAACTCTTGAGAATCTCGTTGCTTCCCAAGGATCCATGTGCCTCAGTTTGAAGATCTCTGTTTTAAATGAGCTGTCGGCAACGGTAAAAATCTGTACTGTTCACTGTTTCAACTGGAACAGACCTTAGAAACCCATGACCATGCACGTCTAGCCCAAAACAAACTACAAAGGAGTCACAGAGAATTTTTTGACCGTTTTCCTGCCTGCAGTGCAGCTACTAGGTCACAGCTGAGCAGAGCCCCCGTCTCGCTGTCAGCCCGACACTGGGAACAGCCATATGCACTGTGCTCTGTGATTCACAAAATGCGATCACGCATGTTATCCACAGCCATCTATGAGCCGCTTCTTTGTTGCAACCACCTGTGTTACAAGCCTAAGAATGTTTGCATCCACCAAGATTTTGACTGCACCAAACAAAAATAGCCCCTCACTCAGAATAGCATCCCTCTAACCTACATTCCCACCAAATTAATGGCTTTTGTCATGTGGGATTAGAGGGGACAGAATGTTTCTATTCAAGTTTGTCACTATTACAAAAAAACAACCCAAGTGCTATGCCACTAAAACATATGCAAACAACAGCTTTAGGAGACTGCCTACACAGGAAACTTCTGGAGAGGTTCTGTGCCTTTCAAAAGGACGTGCTTTATTTTGCCAACTGTTATTCTCAAGAAGGGACCATTGTCTATAGCTCCCTCAGAGCCCCACCTTCAACCCAGCCCCTGGAGGCACAGACAGGCTTTCCACCACCTGGTCCTGTCTCCCCAGCCACACAGAAAGGATCAGGATAAACCACTGGACTAAAGGTGACTCCATGCAACAGTGGCTTAGTGACAGACAACTGTGACTCTGGGCTGGGAGGCGGTACAAATAGAGACTGAATGGAGAGGCAGAGGAGGGATGGGGTGCATCAAGAAATGATTAGAGGGGCTGGGGTTGTGGCTCAGTGGTAGAGCACTCGCCTAGCACATGTGAGGCCCTGAGTTTGATCTTTAGCACCACATAAAAATAAATAAATAAAAGAAAGATTGTGTCCAACTACAACTAAAAAAAATAATAAATATTAAAAAAAAAAAAGAAATGATTAGAGGTAGAGGCCAGTATTAGAGGGCTGGGGAAGACCAAGGCAAAGTGTAAGCCTGGATTTAGAGAAAACAGATTCTCTGAGTAAACGTAAAATGCTGTTTTCAGAGAACAAAATTCAAAGAAAAGAATGATTTTGTGGGGAGGATGAAAGATGGCTGGGAGCTGCCCGCTGTGGTAAAGCCATAAAAGTCAAGTCACTTTTCTTGGGTGAGTGGACCTGAGGACCCCCCCACACCCAAGTCCAAGGAAGCTCCACCCAGCAGGGAGCTTGCCTCCCCTCTCTGCGAGGGAAGCTGAACATCAGCACCTGGGCCTTCGAATCACCTGTTCACTGACCCCAGTAAGGTCCAGAGGCTCTTTCCCATAGAAGAAAGATGGTAGGAGGTTCTCGTACGTATGTGCAGCAAATATCATCTTGCTGTCTTCTTCCCACTCCCTGAGATTATTTTTCCCCTTTCACTTCTTTATGAAAAGTCCTCATCTCCAACTCTTTCTGGTCTGTGTCCAGTACTAGAGTCACTCCCAAATGCTAGGTTTGGGAACAAGAACTGAGATCTTCCAAATCAATGTCTCTACCAGGGAAATTTGTTTTCTCTGCAACAGGATCCTGAGAGGAAATACACCCAGCTGGGCTCTCCTCTATGGAGGTGAAGAGAATGGCCAAGACAGCGGGGGCAAGATGAACAGGAGACTGAGGATTGGACCTTTCCAGTCACAAAGAGCTAACAAAAGCTTAGTGTCTCTTCTCTCCCTGAGCCACATGAAATCTTTGAGTTCTGTTTAATGATTTTGTTTTTGTTTCAG